TGAAACCAGCTCGTGATGACGAGGTCGAATGGTCACAAACTACTTCAAGATCATTTCAGGCTGGACATAAGGAAGAACTTCTTTACTGTCCGAGCCCCCAAGGTCTGGAACAGCCTGCCACCGGAGGTGGTTCAAGCGCCTTCATTGAACACCTTCAAGATGAAACTGGATGCTTATCTTGCTGGGATCCTATGACCCCAGCCGACTTCCTGCCCTTTGGGCTGAAACTGGATGCTTATCTTGCTGGGATCCTGTGACCCCAGCTGACTTCCTGCCCTTTGGGCAGGGGGCTGGACTCGATGATCTTCCGAGGTCCCTTCCAGCCCTGATGTCTATGAAATCTATGAAATCTTGTGCTGTAAGCTTGATGAGAGGAAGCAGGTTAGCAGGGAAAAAGGAACCTTTTGGGACCAAGGAGCATCAAACAGGCCAGCTTACAGGGGAGTTTGCTAAGGAAGGTCTGCTTGGAATGAGGGTCAGAAAGAAAGAGGTGTGCTGCTTGCCAGGAGCTTAGATCTGAGATGTTATGGAAGGATTACTGAGACTCATTCAGCCCTCTGACTACTATCCTAAGCTGCTCATCCATATGGGCACCAGTGATACTGCCAGAGGTGACCCTGAGCAGATCAAAAATGACTACAGGGTTCTGGGTGCAAGGGTGAAGGGCACAGGGGCTCAGGTGGTGTTCTCCATCCTTCTAGTCAAGGGAAAGGGCCTGGGCAGGAGCAGATGTATCCTGCAGATCAACGCATGGCTGCACAGATGGTATTGCCAGAAGGGCCTTGGCTTCTTTGACCACTAGATGTCCTTCCAGGAAGAAGGATTGCTAGGAAGAGATGGATAAAATGAGGAAAGAGCATCTTCGCAGACAGGCCGGTAAGCTAGTGATGAGGGCTTTAAACTAGGCTTGCTGAGGAATGAAGACCAAAGCCCTGAGGTAAGTGGGAAAGTGGGTGACCTGGAGAAGCACAAGCAGAAGGGGGCAACAGGGGAGGCCTTCTTATTCTTCCTGAGAAAGTAGGGCCATCAGCTAGTTACCTCAGCTGCCTGTAGATGAATACATGGGGTCTGAGAAACAAGCAGGAAGATTTGGAAGAACTTGCACAGTGACAGAGTTATGACATGACTGGAAAAGCAGAGACTTGGTGGGACAGCTCACATGACTGGAGTACTGCCACAGATGATTACCAACTGTTTAGTTAAGGACAGGCAAGGGAGAAGAGGTGGAGGGGTTGCACTGTGTGTAAAACAGTTGTATGATCACTCGGAACTCGAGTATGAAACAGCAGAGAGGCCTGTTGAAAGTCTCTGAGTCAGAGGGGACAGAAACAAAGGTGATGTTGTAATGGGTGTCTGCTATAGACCACCAGACCAGGAGGACGTGGTAGATGAGGCTTTCTTCAAACAGCTAGTAGAAGTTTCCTGATCACAGGCCTTGATTTTCATGGGGGACTTCAATCACCCTGAGATCTGCTGAGAGGTCAATACAGCAGCACACAGGCAATCCAGGAAGTTTTGGAGAGTGTTGGGGACAACTACATGGTGCAAGTGTTGAAGAAGTCAATTAGGGGCCATGCTTTTCTTGACCTGCTGCTCACAAACAGGGAAGAATTAGTGGGGAATGTAGTAATAGATGGCAACTTGGGCAGCAGCAACCATGAGATGATTGAGTTGAGGATCCTGAGCCTAGGCAGCAGAAGTGGGGAGGGCTAATGGGGCTTAGCCCCCCCAAACATGGGGGCAGTGGTAGGGCCGCAAGGCAGCCTGGCTGAGGGCTTCTGGCAGCTGCAGCAGGGTTGGGGAGGAGGGCACACATGCAGTGGTGAGAGAGGGAGTGGGGCTGGGACTGGGGCAGTTGCTGCCCAGCTGTGTGGGACAGAGCCGCAAGTGGCTCGTCGGGGGTGCGCGGCTTCTGCTGCTACGCGCACCCAGGAGGGCATGGGGGGCATGTGTCCCCAGAGTCCTGGCCCCAGCCCACAGCAGCAGCCTCCCCCGTCCCACATGCAGATCTGGGGCACATGCCCCCCAGGCCCTCCCAGGGTGTGCACAGCAGCAGGAGCCGCCACCCACTCCCTGTACCAGGGGGCCCCCTCGGACAAGCCACTTGCAGCTCTGTCCTGCACACCGTCCAGGCTTTGCAGGGCCTGCCTCAGCCCCACTCCCTCCATCACTGCTCTATCTGACCCCCTCCCCCAGCCCTTTCCCCTCCCCCTGCCCCTTCCCCCACAGACTTACCTGCTGGGGGGCATGCGTGTGCTCAGCCTCCCAAATAATTTTTTCTCCCTCCACCTATGATCCTGAGGAAAGGAAGGAAGGAGAGCAGCAGAGTAAGGACCCTGGACTTCACAAAAGCAGGCACTCGGGGCAAAGCCTGCAGCAGCAGCCTGCCCTGAGGCAGTGGAAGTGCTTAAGTACCTCCAGGGTCTATTTCTCAATGGTAATTTGGGGAGCCACATTCATGGCCTGTGGCAGGCTGACAGAGTACTTTAGTCTTCTTGATGTTGAAAGAGGGGCCAAAGTTCGATAGGCTTCCCCAAAAAGGTCCAGTGCAGTCTAGAGATGTTCCTCAGTGTGCACAAGGATGCCACAGTTGTTGGTCTATTGAAGGTCAAGGATGGTTGTTTTTAGTACTTAGGTTTTCTTCTGAAAATGTGGCAGATACCACCATCGAGTTCATCCCCCAACACCCTGAAAGGGGATCCCTCACTAACCCTCTTACCCTTGAAGAAGTCTGGTATGCCATCAAAGAAACCAAGAACAACAAAGCTACTGGACTGGATGGCATACTGCTGGCATCTACAAGGCTGGCAGTGAGGAACTGGTACTGAGATTCCACAAATGTATTGTATGAATTTGGAACAATGAAGAGATTCCTGGGAACCTGAGGAATGTCAGCATCATGATTATCTTCAAGAAAGAAGATAAGTCTGTGTATGCGGGACGTATAAAGGTATTGCCTCCTTTCCACAGCAGGGGAAATCCTTGCCCTCATTCTCCTGAACAATATTCTGCTTCTTGCTAAGGAAGTCCTGCCAGTGTCTCAGTGTGGTTTTAGACTGGGGTGGGCAAAATGATGGATCCAGCTAGCAGCTGGACTCCATTTCCCAGAAGCCCCTGCCCACATTGCTGTGGCTGCTTTCCATGGAGACCCCAGAAGTGGTGGAGCCATGATAATGTGGGGCCAAGATTTACATGGAGACCAGCCCCAGTAGTGCTGGCAGGGTGCGCAGCTGGGTGGGGAGCTGCTCTGCAGCCAGGGCTGGGATCTTGCAGTGGTGACAGTGTGGTCCAGAGCCAGGGCAGAGCTGCGATCCATTGCCTGCAAGCCCCTGCAGCGGGCAGAGGACTGCAGCTGTGCCCCAGCTCCGCACCATGTTGTCACTGCCTCAGGATCCTGGCCCTAGATCAGTTCCCCACCCTGCCACCAGTGCTGCTTGGGCTAGTCTCCATGGAAACCCTGGCCCCCCTGCTGTCACAGCTCTGCCACTCCTGGGGTCTCCACGGAAACTGGCTGCAGTGCAGGCAGGGGCTACTGGGAAATGGAGTTTGCTACAGGCCAGACTTTGCCTGCCGCTGTTTTAGACCATCCCATGGGAAAACTGACATGATCTTTTTTGCCCATCAGGTCCAAGAAAAGTGTCAGGAACAGCACCAGGACCTGTATATGGCCTTCGTTGACTTCACTCAGGCTTTTGATTTCATCAATCGCAAAGCCTTGTGAAAAGTGCTGGCTAGATTTGATGTCCTAAAATGTACATCAAGGTACTGACATCATAGGTTAATAAAAAGTGATCTGGAAGGGGACACCAAGCAGCACACACTGCTCCCTGAATGTGTCAAGGGAGCCCATGGCCACCAGCTAATGAAACTGCTTGGAGACGTGAATGGAGTAACCTGAAGACAGCCCCACATTCATCTGGGTTCTCCCCAGCTAGAGCCTCCTTCCTGATCTTATAGATGGCCAGCTTGGCCAGAGCCTGGAGGAGGTTGATCAAGAGGTTTTGTGGCTTGGTGCTGCCAGATGGGGAGTACATAACAAAAAAGGTGCAGGGAGTAGTGCAGCCAGAGCCTCAGCAGGTGGTTCTGGAAGAGGGGCTGCAACCTGGCGCACTCGAGGTAGGCACTGTTGGAGATTGGACACTGGGCTAGATGGACCATTGCTCTGACTCAATATGACACTTCTTATGTTTTTATAAATTATGCAACTCTCACAGAACTTTCTGGCTTCGTTCTCCACTTTAAAGCTCTTAGGCCAGACTTGATCTTGGAGGCCCATTTGCCAGGTACTTCGGTGTCTGTTCTTCCAGAGGAGTGGTTCAGTCAAGTGGTATGGCCAGAGAGCAGGGCTCTGCAGCAGCACTGTAGGGCTGATCCCCAGAGAGGGTCTGGTTCACTCCAGTCCTCACAGCAGGATCAGAGAAACAGCCTCTGCAGAGAGGTCAGGGAGCAGGACTGGCTCACTCCAGTCCCCAGGGCAGCGTCGGGAGATAGGACCTCGGAAAAGGGTGAGGGCGCGACTCCGCTTACCAGGGCTCTAAGGGGAGAGGCAAGGTAGAGACGCGCCTTGCAGACGAACTGAATCGGTGATGCGAAAGCGTCCCTGAGCAGAGCTCCCTGCACTGCTCTCGCTCGCGAAGGCTGGTGCATTCCCGCCCCGCTCTGCTGGGTCCGTCCCGGCCCTGCCCTGCCTCACTGCAGACTCACCGGCAAACTAGGCGGTCACGTCTCCCGGGCTCCCACGTTGTGCCATGATTGGCCGGCTCCTGATGGCGGTGGCCAATGGGCAGTCGCAGCTTGCGGGTGTTTTCGCGCATCTCGTGTGCTTAAGAGTGTGTCAAAATTCCAGGGGCGGGGGCGAGGCTTCCCTGTCGCTGAATGACAGCTGTCAGAGCCTATCAGAACTCAGATTGTGCGCTTGGCGGGCGGGGTTCGCGCTGCGTGTGATGCTACTCGCGGGGAGGCGGGCTTTGGCCGGCGCGGTTGCTATGACGGCAGGCGGTTGAGTCTCCGCCTTCTCGGGGGCCGCCATCTTGTTGTTGATTCGGACGGTACGGAGCGGGTGGCCGGGGCCGCCGGAGCCGGGGGATCCCAGCGTCAACTCGGCTCCGGCCGGGCAGGGGGAGCG